GACCCAGGTGTTGAACAGCATGACAAAAAAAGTCTGGCTTGACTGGGCTGCATCTAATTTTAGGTGGAGACATTAAAGAGTGACTACGCCCAAACTATTTAATGGAGGATCATCGGGGCTCCTCTTCCCTCTATCAAAGGCATTTCATCTAAGCGCTGCATGTCCCGAGCCTGTGACATCATCAGTGACCCCTCACATCCCCACCATGGACTGTTCTCCCTGCTGCCCTCTGGAAAGAGACTTTGCAGCATTCAATGTGGGCACCGGCAGATTCTGCAGCAGCTTTTTCCCCACTGTCTTCAGATTGCTGAACTGTTGAATAAAAGAACCTCTAAATCAAATCACAGACTCTGAATCGCACTGATAAAAACCAAACCAAAAAGAACCCAACTCAAAAAAAAATTTCCTACTGCATTTTTGCACCATATACATTTGTCTTTGCACTGCTCTGAACTTTCATGAGTTTTGCACCATTTTTTCCTCCCACACTGTTTACATTTGATCGCCGCTGCACTTTATGAAATGAAAATTTCACTGCAAAGCTGCTGCTAATTTACTGTCTGAAAGCTGTACTAAACAATTATTTTTTTTTGTATACACTATGTTCATACAAAATGACAGTAAAAGTAGTCTAATGCAGCTTTTTCATTTTGATGGACCTTTGGACTTCACTTACATATTAAATCCTCATTCAGTGTTTTCTTGCCAAATAGTCTCCATGAATCAGTTATTTGATACAAATTTGGATAAATCTACTCTTGTAAGAATAGATTATAAAAAATAATTAACCTCCTTAGATCATTGATGTTTAAAGCTTCTCAGTCCAAGACCCCAGAGTGGGGGTGGGTTGGGAGGGTCAAAGTTTATAACAGGCAGCTTAGAGGTGCTTATTAATATCAAGGGGCTGAGCTCACTGCAAAGATTTTATCTGCTGAGGCAAAATGGCTTCAAAGCGAATTCTGCCTTAAGATATTCAAGATATACACCTCAATTATCGAGTTTTGTTGTTATTTGTGATAAAAATAAAAAAAAGGTCAATCTATTAAACAACGGGTAGTAGCAGCCTAGTGGTTAGTGTGTAGGGCTGGGAATCCTGAGGTTCTGAGTTAGAGCTCCACTGCCTCTCTGAGCAAGACCCTTAATCCCACACTGCTCTCCAGGCGCCACACAATGGCAGCCCACTGCTCCCCAAGGGGATGGTTAAAATGCAGGTAAATACATAAATGAGGTAAATTTTTCTGTCCACTTTAAATTAAACGTTTTTTCTCTTACAAATGTGGAGACTGAGTATCAATTTATTCATTTTTATCAAAAGATTGATTATGTCTGGTGCTAAATTAAAGACTATAGAAAACGAATACCTTTAGAGGCTGACCCACATTATTATAATTAGCAAGTCTATGTACACTTACACAGAACAGATAGGTGTTATTTCATCAACAGCAGAGGACCCATCTGGTGGAAAAGATAAAATAAAAAAAAAAATTATCATTAAGAACTCTGAGGTCAGATTACCTCTTTCCGATCTACTCATCTAATCTAGTCCAGTGATTTCCTGAAACTTCATGAACTGGACCAACAGTGGAAACTGTGATTGCTTTATTTTTTCATAAATATAATTTATTATTAATCGGATACATTGTCATGAGCAAATATACACACACATTAATGCAGAGATCTAAAAACGCACATACATCTTGCAAAAATTTTAATATTGCAACCTCAAATATTTCTGTCACTGGTTTTTTGAAATTAGATATTTTAATATGGAGTTAAAACAACAGCCTTTATTTCATGCAGTATTGACAGTTTGATCTTACAAATAATGAAAGCATAGACGACTCATGGTGTATCACTATAATCAACAAATTAACTCTAAAAAACCTGCAAAGGTTTCCTGAGCCTCCAAAAGGCCCCTGATTACTCATTCATGGGGAAGACAGCTGATTGGACAGATGTCAAGGAGTAAAAGGCAATTCCTTAAATAGCTGGTTGTTCAAAGAGTGCTCTATCGAAGAATATTACTAGAACACTGACTGAAGGAAAAACATATGGTAGGATTTCTTTTTAAAGATGTACCTTTATTTACAATAGTACAAAAAAGGAGAGTAATGTTATCCTTCTGCCACACAGTACATTGGTCACAAGTCCAGATCTCAGTTATGAAGGTGTGAATATCACTGATATTCTACTGGACTTTGTTTCCAAGTTCAAGACGTTTCGCTTCCCATCATTCCAATTCCCAATTTTGAATTGAAAAAGCTTCCTGGATAGGAAGCGAAATATCTTCAAACTTGGAAACAAATAAGGCCAGTGGATTGTTTTTTAAATTTTTCGGATTTAGTGATATATTTTTTATATGTTTTCTTTTTTGGCATATATTAGCCTGATTTTCATTATCAGATCAGGGCATCCCAAGAAACCATAATGCTGAGTAGATAGGAAGACATTACTTTGTAGATCCCAATTGGTTGGACTCTTGATCAAAGGGTCTTTAACAACTTCAGCTCCTTTTCTTTCTTTTTCCAATCCTCAAACAATCCCTACATTTCTTTTAAAAAAGCTGGGAATAAACTAAATTAGAAATAAATATTGATATTAGTCTTCTCTAAGAGGTGAGGTTCATCTACATGGAACTCTCG